AATAGGAACCTAAGGATAGCCTATCTTATTTTCTCTAATAAAACATATATTTTATCTATAAACTATTATCTGCCCAAACTGCCACAGACGGAAGGGTATAGTTTTTAGTTGTAGTAGAAATTATACTTACCTGTTAGACACCGCTATAAACCTGTAAAGGATCCCTGTAGCCGTGTTATTATTATAGTACTACTATTAAGAAGGCCACGGTACTGTAACAATATCGAGATAAATTAGAACTTAAAAATACACAAGAGGCTTTACAAAATATACAGGCATGGAATTTTGGCGAAAACGAATTTGATTCTGATGAAAAATTTCTAGACTTGTATAATTCTGATAATAATATAGATACAATAGCTGAATTGGCCAATGCTATAGACTGATCCCTAGATAATACAACAATATATAGAACGATTTTAACAAATCAAATTAAAAGATCAACAAGACAGATATGTAAAAATATACTAACCTGCAACAAGATCTGGTAAATGAACGGTGGTACCGAGATACATACAGGCAAGAGTGAGATCAGGCATTGCTTGATCTTCATCAATTACGGACTAATGCACAAAACCAAGTGAATAGAATAATAGATAATATGGCAAGAAAACAAACCCGCATCAGTGAATTGCTATGTAAAAATTTTGCCTTCTAGTTATTGTATCAGTGAAATATCCTCTTTCTACAAGATTGTAGAACAGATGGAGCAATTACTACACATCTCTTAAATCTTACAAATAATCGATACACCAAATGGAAAAATAAAACTCATGCAGAGCGCCAGAATAATTTAAATTTAAATCAACAAATTTTGGCGCTATATAATAATCAACAGAATCGAAGAAATATGGCAGGAATACCACAACCATTTTTTGACTGGGGTGATGATATTCTAGATTTTCTTGCGAAGCTAAGATTATACTTGCAAAACCAAGGTGTAAATCCAGCAAATAATGCGGGAGGTCTACCGACAGGAAGAGAAGTAGCTATAGGATATTTAAGAGGCTGTATGAGAGGAAGAACTTTAGAATGGTTCGATGAAGAAATTTCTACAAAGCAAAATTGGGAATTAGCAAACTTACTTGATAATATGGGGCAAGCTAACATAGTAGCTGTAAATAGACATACAGCTATTCAGATAGGAGCTAATAGAATAAATGAGGCCCTTAATTAGCCAGGAAATGCAATAGTTAAGTTAAGAGCCGTAGAAGGTTCTTGGGATGAAGACTAGCGTATAGCGGAAGGCCGACCTACTAATAATACTCCAAATGCTTCCAATGCTAATGCTAGTAATACCGTAGTTGTAACTGGAATTCATTTTGGTCAAGCCGTATGGTAGTTAAAAACTCATTTTTCTACAGTAGAAGAGGAGCTTCGGGATATGATGTATGGAACAATCGAAAAGAGGAACATAACTATAGATGAATTATATAGAAAAATATTATAAATAGGTAGACAAGCCAACTATAAACCTGAAGAATTACATAGAAAGTTCTTAGATGCTTTTCTACTTCCATGGCTTGAAAAAGCTGAAGATATCGGCGAACATTTGCTATTGGATGAATTAGCTAAAAAACTTTATGAGATAGAATTACGCCGAATAGCTAGACATAAAAGAGATAAAATACCTGATCCATTAGTTTTTCAGCGAGCATCTCGAGAAATATATGAACCCCTTCCTATTTCAGCTCCTCAACAGCAAGAAATTTCTTTAGAAGATATGCAAAAAGCAATCCAAAACACACTGGCACAGCAAAAAACTGAATACCAGTCTTTATTAGAAAAACAAAAAGCTGATTACTAATCACAGATAGCCCAGCAAACTGTTACTCAAAAAGCACAAGCACCTGCTCCACAGATAGTAGAACTAGTTAGACAATCAAGAGGTCTCTATTATCATTGCAATCAGAAGAAGATCTCAAAAATTATTATGTAGCTGAATACTTAAAAGAATTAGGTTTATTAAATAAGAATAATTTAGACTCAGCTTATCCTGTAAAACTTTTTCAAAGACCTTGCCTTCAACGAAATAAAATTTTTGCTAGGATTGATAGAATAGAAAATACAATCAATGAAGATAGAGATGTGGTAAATCAATTAACTAATCAATTTCAAAAAGTATACATACGTAAATATATTATTTGCGGAGAGACAGGCCATAGTAAAGATAGTTGTCCTAATAGACAAATAGCACAATCTAATTTCAATTGGTCTGCTTATTTTAAGCCTCTTACACCTATAAATTTCCAAAACACACCCCCAGATTTGGATAATGAGGAAAAAGGTTATGATAAAAAAAATAATAGGTGGACCAGATATGATTCACTAGTAAAAAAAAGCAGATACTAATAAAAAATAACAAGCCTGAAACATATAATTAGCTATTGTCTAAGCTTTCATCACCAATACAAAAAATGTGCTTGTCCCGAAAGGCTCTGGAGAAGGAGTCAAAAAAATCAGATGAGTGGTTTTCATCTTTATAGTACTTGTATTGTAATATAAATGATCTATCGATTCCTGATTCTTTTTTAGATACTGGAAGTGAATTCGGTAAAATAAATAATTCAGCAATTCACGCACTTGGATGGAAGATTGATGAGTTATCTGATTTTGCTATAAAGGACAATTCCAAACATATTACTGATTCATTAGGATGGTACACAGATGTGCCGGTTACTATGAAGGACAAAGAGAAAAAGATAGTCATGGTCATTGAAAATTTTGTACGTATAGATAATGGCGAACCTGAACCAATACTATTTTTAGGCATGTCAAATATTCGAAAGCTCCAAGATGTTCCTGAGCCAAATAAAAACCAGTTCTACATAAAGTTACATGGAAAGACCTATGTTATTCCAACTTATAGCAAGGCCCAAGTAGCTAAAGATCCGCCAAAAGAGGAGCAGGAATCATCATCTCAGGTTTTTGCTAATTCTTCTAACCCAACTAGTGAGGACTTAAAAAAAAATGCGAAAATCTTGAAAAGCGCCTCTTGAAAACTAAGAAATGGCTTGACTTGGCATTAAGGACTGGAAAGTTTTTTGCTAATACATGTGAATCTTTATGTAAAAGAGATATCAAAAGTACCAACTGAGCTTTTAAGCTTTTTACCGTGATTGACTAAGTTTTCAAGAAGAGATTCCAACCTTTTTTCTTAGGATGCATCTGGCAAATTATTAGAGAGCACGTCATCTTTGTTCTCATTTTTTTTTGTCTTATTTCTAATTCATGAGAGTCCTTCTTTTTTTGACCATTCTTTTTTGGAATCTTCATAGTCGGAGTAGACGTAGATAGTACTGGTGGTACTACTTCAAGATTCTGTTTTGACTTATCAGTCTTGAAATTTTTATCCAAAACACGCTGAGATAGAATGGCCCCTTGCTAGAGGCGTTCTTTATTATCCCATATTTCATAAACATGTTTAGATCTGATATGGAATTTATCAGCTATTTTTTTTGATGCATTGGGTATCCTACCTCTGGATTCTCTAATTTTTTTGATAGCATCATCCGATAATAGGGTTGCCTTAGCATCATAATATGTATCATGAATACGGACTACCATCTTCACTAGATTATTATATTAGAAAAAAAATATTAATGCTTTTCAATAAAATATCAATGCATATCAATGCGTGCGTATCAATACTCTTCAATAAGCATTAATATTTTTTAGTGTATATTGATACTTTTCAATATATATTAATATATTTCAATGCCCACCAATGCATATTAATAAGCTTCAATACTCACCAATGTATATCAATATAGTAATATCTATAAAAAATATCTTGCTTCTAATGCCAAAAATTCTAGCGGTATCTATCTAATTTTTTTTACCTAAAGAAAAAAAAATACCAATAAAATGTACCAGATCCGTACTTTAAAAGATCTGGATAATGGTAATAAACTTGGAGATGCTCTAGCTAATTATTATCCTCCCAGCTGAACAGAACTTGAAGAGCAACTTTCTTGTGCAAAAAAAAATCGTGAAGTTGCTATATATTGGAAAAATCGGTTTGCAGATAATTACAATGTCTTAGATAGAAAAAAAAAACATATACAGGATTCTCTAAATCAATCAAAAAAAGAAAATAAGCGTATACAGGATGATCTTGATAAATCTAAAAAAGAAAATAAGTGTATACAGGACGATCTTGATAAATCTAAAAAAGATAATGAGAAGCTCTCTGATTGTGTTCACCAGCTTGGAGAAGAAACAATATGATTACAATCAGAAATAGATAACTCCAAGCTTGAAGATGAAATAAGATATTTACATTCAGAGATAAATGACCTTAAGCTTCAGATCACTCGCAAGGATATTTCTTTTGCAGATGCCGAAAGCAAATTTTCTATAAAATCGGAGAAGATGCAAACCTTCCAATCCAAGATAGAGAAAGAGATACAGGCTCTCTAATCAAGAGTAAAAGAATTGGAGCAAGATCTTTCTTTAGCGCAGAATGAGTTATCAGAAATGGAATCTCTTGAGCGTGAATTCGAACAAGAAAAGATATTACTATCTGCTAAAAACACTACTCTAAATTATAAAAAAATGGAGTTAGAAGAAACTCTGTCTAAAGAAAGAAATAAATTAATGCGAATAAAGGATAATTTAGCTTCAGCACAAAGGCATTATTAGAGAAAGATTCCCTTCTTCAAGAAGCTAATGCTCATTTAGCAGAGCAGATTTCGAAAGTATCCAGTAAGTCGAAGTATAATGAAGTGATTGGAGGTGTTAGCAGACTAGAAAAAGGTAACGGCATTACTAATCCTGAAACAACCTCACTATCACCCAATTCCTTCTTTTAGCAGAATGCGGTCTTCATTATAATAATGATATTACTAATTATATACTTCCTATGCCGCATATCCTCTTATATATATTCTTTTATTTTACTCCTCAATAAAGAAAAAAATATTTCGAATTATAAAATACCCTTAGATAGAAATCAGAGTTATAGATTCCCAATCCATCATATAAAAGAACTAAAAAAAAGCACTACCACCTATGAAACTCTACCTTATAGATATAGACGAGGCTACAAAGCACGAATCATCTTGAAATGTTGGACATCCAGCAATAACATGGCCTTTTAGCATGATAGTCAGCAGAAGAAGTGGTACAGGTAAGACCAATTTACTAGCAAACCTTGTTCTTGGAGATAAATATGAACATATATATAAAAGACAAAGGAGAGAATCCAGATATATTAGATGCGATAATTTGATAGTTTGTGGATACTACCTGGATGAACCTAAATGGGCATTTGTTAGATATATGTATGGACTAATTGCAAGCAATCCCAAAGTGCCATATTATGAAAATATTATGTTCAGTTATATCTCACCTGAAAAAATCTCTAGCGTAAAATCATTTTCATCTGAGAGGAGTACCGTAATCATTTTTAAGGATATATGTATTGCTTCTGAATCTATCCAAAATCGAATAATTCCATTTTTTACACATGGGCGTCATCGAAATATTTCTCTATGCTATGTTACTCAGAAATACCATCATGTACCAATTATTATTCGTGAAAACATCTCCCTTTTAGTAACATATAATAGGGAAAGCAGTTATCAAGATATCTTCAAGATAGCTGACCGATATACTGATGATGTAAAGAGCATATCTATAGTTATTAACAGCTACCTCCGCAAAGGTGAATTTGTTATATTTGATCTCAGCAGGTCAGGGATGATCTGCTCGCAATTCGACTAGGGTTTGATTCTCTATTAAACCTGCAGAAAGAGATAGAGGCGAGGCAGAAGCGCAAGAAAAAAAGTGTCTCACCTAATGAATAGAATTAGTCAAATTGTAGATCCCCTATTTTCTCATAAATTCGAAAATAGAAAAAAAAAAGTAATCAGAAAATTTTTTAGATAAAATTCCACAAAACTCTTCACTTCGAAAAAATTTATTTTTGAAGAAGGATGATTTGTTTGTTCACAAACTTCTAAAGTGCTTAATTATATTACTGACCATAGATAAGAAAATCATAAGTAAATATACATTTCATAGATTTTTATTTCACATTGACAGTGGACAACTATAAAAAAACAAATTATTATAATAAATACATAATATCTATTTTGATATCAAATCCATGCTCCGGAAAATTCGACACACATACTCACAATTATTGTTCGAATCTGAGAAATCTATGTTAATTTCTTCTCCTAGGATATAAAGATATTTAGTTTCGAAATAGTTGATTTTTAGTGAATCACATGGATATGATTTGCCTATCATTTTACAAATATATCGCATATATTCTGAAATTCTAACAAAGTTTTCATTGCCATTATTGGGGTATTTGACAATACGGTAATATTCGGGATTCGATAGCTACTTTAACATATAAGTCCATTCTGAATATTTAACGATTCTATAGCCTTGCCAATATAATTCTATAAAAGCAACTATATATGATACAAGACATAATTGATTATTTAGCTATTCTTTTTTTCTTTCTATCTAGTTATTAGGAAGATAATATTCTTTATACTCTCCTGGTAATAGATAATTATATCCTTTATTTATCATAGCAATAATTTTAGCACTATGTAAATTATGTTGTTGATGAGTATAAGGATTTTTTATTTTTCGAAGAATGATATCTAAAAATTTTGTATCGTCGGGAATACTATCATTTCTCACCATATTCCAAATTCGTTTCGCCTATGTTTCAGGTTTCAACTTGTAATCTCTCCAAGCTCGTTAGATAATTTTTGCACTATTAAATAAAGAATAAGCAATTTTCTCCCTAAATCTATTATCCGTATTATATACATGATAATCATGCTGTGGATATACAGAATAATTCATAAAAATCTCATTAATCTCATCAGAACTAAGTGATAATACACTTCTTCTTCTTTTTTTCTAAACAGGATTAGAATGTGCGAAACGCCTTTTAGCTGTTTTAGCAATATCAGGAAGCCAGCACAAATGTTTTTATCACTCAAATTTCGTCAGCCTGCTTGTTCGGTCTTCCTCTCCTTACAACAGGACAATGATAGTTGACGATCGTGCTCTCCTCGACAAAGTCGAGAACATAGAAAAATTAAATTGCAGGGAGGTAATAGTTGGATCCTAGGCCTGCCTCGAAAGGCTATAACTACACCTGAGAAGACTATATTATAAAGGATAAATAGATTGCATATTTTTTGCAAACTGGACCAACCACCCTAACTAACTATTAGATTATTAAAATAATAACTGTGTATCTGTTGAACTACAAATATACTCAATAGAGACCCTATCATTTCAATAATAGATCCAAATTTTTTTGCATAACTGAGTATATTCAATAGTAGCTTGGAAAGGTCAATCTATCAACACAAAACAATCTAGTATGAAGAGTGGAAAATCGATAAAATTTAATCTAAATTAGCACTAGCTCTACTATTATTATGTGGTTATATATATCAATATCTAGTTTTAGGCTATGTATAAATTTGATGTAGAGCATATTATTAATGACAATATATTTGTTTTCAAGGGGTGGTTTTACCTGATAACAAAAAGTGTTTAATCAACATGTATCACGATTTTTGGAATTGGATTTCAATATATTTGGCACTTCAGCTATTTACAAATTTAAAATAAGCATATATACTGGGCCGTGATTATTCGAGGGGCAGGTTTGTTTTCAAAAATACTTGTAAAATATATATGTGCGCTTTTTTAATGCAACCACATTCTATCAACTGCTTTTTTCACCCGAATTCGGAACAGAACTTTGTACTGGACCCTTTTATTATAAATTACGGCTTATTTTTATTAGTTCAGTATATATTGTAATAATCCGACACGAAGTGGTATGCAATATAAATGACTCGGTATTGCAATAATTAAACATGAGTCAACTAATATTTTTTATTTGGCATCTTAACATAGTATGATAATTTTTACAGTACAAATAATTAAATTTTTTACTAAATTTGGCACCTCATTTATTGGATATGGCAAATCTATTAACAATCTCATGTTTTCTATATTTGGGATTAGATATTTGCTTATACGGTGTACAGTAATAATTTTACACGCTATATATCCCAAGCTCAATTTGCAAATTTAGAATAAGCGCCCTATTATAACAGATCAAATATCTAGCATCACATTTTTTTATCAACATTGATCCATGCTAGAAAAAAATAAGTACGTATTATGTCATATCATATGATTTAACGGTTCTCATGGGTCCGCTTTTATTTTGGCCTAGGTCGAAAAATAGCGATAAAAATTTGACTGGCTTTAATAATCAATAGCCTGTATTAAATTTTATAGTCAGAGATTTTTTCAAATTTGGGTTGGTATAACAAAATTATTCTAGAATTTAGAAGATCGTTGATGATCTATAAAATAAATTTTGATTGGCTATTTTTACAAAATATTGGTTTAAATCCACATGATTTTTTTCGATAAGAAGTTTTTTTAAAATTTATCAAACGGGTATTTGAAGTTCTAAAGATTTAGAATCTACAAAAATTATAGTTGAATCCACATATATTTCTAAGTTGTGCGAGCTTAAAAAATGAGTATTTAATTAACTATTT